GGGTTTTGTTCGGGGACCCTGACCCTAGCCTCTGACTCAAAAGTCTGACCCACGAGGCAGTGGGAGAGTGTGGGGTTTTGTTCGGGGACCCTGACCCTAGCCTCTGACTCAAAAGTCTGACCCACGAGGCAGTGGGAGAATGTAGGGTTTTCTTTGGGGACCCTGCCCGGAGCCGACGACTCAACAGTCTGACCTGCTGGGCTGCAGGGGGTTGGCCTAACCCGAGGGCGCAGGGAATAAGGCATTACTGTCTCATTCTTGATGCGGCTGCGCACGGAAGGTGCCTTTTGAGCAGCACCAGGCTCTTTGGTTTTAAAGGTATTTCGACCGTATTGGATAATGCGCCGGCGATCGGAGTGTGCGGTTCTTGGGGCCGACCTTTTCTAACCCGTCCTTCCTCAGGGGAAAGCAGCATCGCTGCTTCTATAAATATGGACATGCTGGTCGCCTGGGGGAAACACCTTACTGCCTTCACACTCCTGTCGCAGAGGACAGTACGACTTTACCCCCAGACCGCCTCGTAGCACGATTACTCGTAGTACGGAGTCTCGCTGCTCTTGGTCTGGCTGCTCCCCTTTGGCCTTCCTGGCATGGTTGCACCTTGTGGAACGAAGTTCCAGCCAGTGTAGCCTGCGGGATCGCTGCAGCACTCGAGCCCGACCACCACGTCAAGGTGGCAGCTTTAGGTCGAGAGAAATCAAGTGTGGAATATCTGTATTGAAACGTGAGAAGGCATAAGGACTGGACGGTGTGTATCCAGTCCTCTTCAAAGGAGTATCTGGTGACCTATCTAACAAAGCCGATTGGCGCGATGTGGCAGTGACTGCAGAGCGAAATTGTTCCCCACAAATTCTTGGCCCTAAGGCGCTGTACGCCAACTCCCGCGGATGTGTGACGGTCTATGAGAAGCTCCAGCTCAAGTTCACCACATCAAGTGCTCTCATGCAAGGCTGTCTTCTTCCATCTTTCCTATCCGATTTATTCATTGATACGATCACGGAAGACTCACTACCAGCCTCTAATGGGGTCGGAGTTCTATCGGGACATTCACTTACAGATGTCGAGTACGCAGACGAAATAGATATTTTTGGATCTGACGCTGTCGTATTGTAAACAATTAAATAATGTAAATAATTCTGCCTCACGGTTTGGCGTGTGCTTCACACCTGCAAAGTACAAAGTGTTTGCATATCAAAGAAAGAAAGAAAGCGTTCAGCTGTGGCACCCTTCCGGTGCCTAGCTGCCATGCCACCCGAGGGAAGCATGAGGGCTGGGATACTGTCAGGTTGCCCAAGCCTAGACAGGGGAAGTCGAGTGGCGGAGGTCGGATTCGAACCACGGACCTTCCGGCAGTAAATTCGCGCTCTAACCACTTGGGCCATCTCGCTTGCATATCAGCCGAACTAGTAAACAAATTTGTCTACCTGGGCAACTGTATCACTGCCGGTGCCCTCGCGAAAGATGATACTTCCATCCGAATTGGGAAAGCCAGATCAGCATTCGTGACATAATACATTAAATCTCAGTTGACGTTGTGTGCTTCGTGCACTCCAGAAAGTGGCCCTCCTTTTGGTCGCTGTCTAGGAACAGCCAAATTCTCAGATATGTCGTTTCACCTCTTAGTTGCTTTGGTTACAGACGCCGAATTGCTGAACACCTGATGACCGCCCCTAACGTATGCCTGGTCACGTCCACCTCTGAGTTTCACAACCTGTTGGGATATTGTGCCGCACAGAACAAACTAGTCATTATGGATTTCTTTGCCGAATGCTGCCAGTCCTGTCAATGGATAGCGCCCTACTTCCACCAGTTATCGCAAGATTTTTGGCCACGCGATGTGCTTTTCGCCATGGTTGATTGTAACCGATCTCAAGATTTGTGTGTGCAGGAGTTTGTCTCTGTATTTCCAACATTTAAATTGTACAAAAATAGGGAATGTGTGGGCACTGTACGCGGTAGGTTACCGTGTTGCACAGTAGTGTCGTCATCTAACCAACCTGACCATAGGTGCAGATCCATTAAAATTGCTTCAGCTACTGAACAAGTATGCCACAAGTCCTGTGGTTGTGCAACTTCGCCAGTGTGAAGATGCCCAGGTGCGAAACGTTACCGCCCGGTTGCTGACACACTGCCTGGTGAACCTCCTTTCCACACGAGCTATTGTTCCGACGGATACAGAGGATTTCCATCAAATGCCTCGTTATTTTCCCGGAATGTTGGAGTGCTTATTGTTCTGTGGATATGCGGTGAGTTGCCTCTGAATTTCGAATAGATTGGAGTAATGTGGTATCTGTAGAATCCGTTCGCTTCTGCACTACACCTGATCACTTTTTCTCTTCATATAGATGTGGGACCTATAATACACTTTCTTACCTACATCCATGCGTTATGCTCATTGTATGCACACTTTTATGTGCGCATATCACCTCTCATTCATCGTCAGATGGGAAGGTCCACCAGAGAAAGTGCCGCTAGTTCATGCTGTGCGACTTGATGTTTATCTGGTCAAAAATTAGGTTGGTCCGTACACATTCTATCGTCTGCTAGTTCTTCTTAGTTCGTTTTGTTTATTAACAGTTTACCCGTAGTGATTATCTAAAGAACGTTCAGCTGTAGCATCCCTTCTTTGCCTAACTGCCATGCCACCCGACGGAAGCACGAGGGCTAGGATACTTCCAGGTTGTTCTGGCCCAGATGGGTGAAGTCTAGATGTAGATGACGGTTTTAAACCGTGGACCTTCTTGTCAGTTACTTCACGTTCTAACCACTGAGCCATCTCCCCCTGTATCTGACAGCTCTTATCTTAAACCGACACTATTAGACTACATTAATGAGTCATCTCGTATGGTCTTCATCCGTTTGGGTTGGTTAAGAATTCTTGTGATTTACCTCTATCTTGTTTTCGCCTGCTTTCCCTTGTTTTCAGCAACGAGGTGATTATTTGGAGCCACTCCCAGAGTCATCGATTGATAAAAATTTTGTCCGAATGATATTAGATCAACTCAGACCCTTTTCCGTGAGTTTATTTTCTTTCTCACCTTAAGTCCGATAAAATTGGCCTATCGATTATGTCATTGTGATTATTCTGTGTGCTTGTCGAGGCTGTTGTCTCAGTTTATTGCTGACATTTGTTTGAATTTTCAACACGACCTTGCTCACTTCGTTTTATTCCTTTTACCATCTCATGGCGGTATCGGTTCACGTTCGTCTATTTATATCAAGGTTTTTGTAAGACTTTCCTATAAGCCTGCTCCAGTGTCCTTGCCGACATCGAAGTAACGGTTGTATGAGCGCGAAGGTCTGCTCTCCAAACACTTTCAACCTTGACACGCAGGTAAAAGGTACATCCAAATATGTTCAGAAATTTTAAAATTGCAACTGTGAGCGCACATGCCACGCTTGACTTTACAGTGATTGGAATAGCCTATCGCCCCAGACGGAACGCCTTTATGAAGCGCAAATTGTGGCAATCGAACGGAAGAAATAGGTTTTCTTACCTGTCTTGCCTCGCTTCGTTTCGTGTCATTGGTTCCAATTACATGCATACGTTCCTCTTTCTAAGTACTTATAACATGACTTCCTCCTTCCAATGAGCTTACAAATGACTTAACCCAGTCATAAAATGCACTGTTTTCAGATGCACTATCCGGAAAACTGTTTTTAAATAGCATCACAAGTGTCCTACTGTATCAACAGAACATCACTCAATAAGTCCTGGTATCTTTACGGCCCGCTTCTTAGCCAGTTTAACTTGAACTGTAACAAAAAACATCCGGAAGAGTACAAAACGAATGTCTCGAATGGAATGATTTCCACATTAAGCAGGTGGGTGACTAAGTTTTGATGAGCCCCTGGACCTTGCCTTAAGTACTGCTGAAGGCTACTCTTTGATTTGCCTCACTGATTGTCCTGCTTTCCCGTGAACGAGAATCCTGTTCGGTAAGTGCAACCCTCTATTCTAGGCGCCACACTTACTACGCAGAGGGTAGATATCTCTTGATGGTAAATATTACACTAGTAAGGTTGTAGTGCGTGCAATCATTACCGTCTAAGTTATGTTGATTATCCAAAACGTCTGTATGTAGATCCGATTGCAATGCCCTAGGAGGCTAGGACCACTTAACTTCCGTACAACCACAGCTGATTATAGACAGAAATATGGCCTGTCAAACAGTGCACTGAAGACAGGCGTACTATCGACTTGGTGTTTGTGATATACAGCGAGTGCAGGCTGTCCGAGTACTTAATCCCAGCTGGTTCAGCTGTTTATAAATGTCACATCTTAATGAACTTCGTCGTTCAAGTTGCCCATCAGTATGTCGGTATGCCATTTTGGTCAGCTGTTGGATCTTGTTTCAGTTCAACTGCTCGTCAAGCCTCTTGCTGGATATTCCGTTATACACCCCAATACATTGTTAAGTTCTCTGTCCCTGCAAGCGCTATTCCACATGTGGAAAAATTCTTTTCAGTAGTGTTTGGGTTTGTTCTGTTTGAGCGAAATTGATCTGCCGATTGTTACAACCGGTTGCATGATCTGAGTCCAGGGGACTGTGTGCCGGGTATAGTAACTTGGGGGGGGGGCGGGGCGAGATGGCCTAAGGGGTTGGAGCGCGAATTTACTGACCGGAAGTTCCGTGGTCCGAATCCGACTTCCGCCACTCGACTTCCCCTGTCTAGGTTTGGGCAACCTACCAGTATCCCAGCCCTCATGCTTCCTTCGGGTGGCATGGCAGCTAGGCACCGGAAGGGTGCTACAGCTGAACGCTTTCTTTCTTCCATAGTAACTTGTAATTCCTACTGCAATCCATCCCTTCATCCATACACACTGACGTAGACGGGGGCAGCAAGATTGTCTGATCTCTATCTCGCAAATGCAATTCCTACAACTCCCCAGTGAGACCCATGTGAGTGTGGTTAATCTACATAACACAGAAGGTAGTGAGGTGTAGCGAATATACACTCATTTGCAAACTAATTTGGTTTTCCAAGAGACTCACCTGGAACCTAGCGGAATCTATCGTTTGCGATGTTTCCAGGTAACTGAATGTGCTGCGCCAGGCCGCCTCATGTTTCAGTCGCTACGATATTCGAGATATCGCGATACATGTATATTCGTAGTGCACTACTCATAAGGTTGCATAAGGTAGACAGCCCAAGACCTGTTTCGCCCTTCTTGGGGCTCATCAGGTAGGCGCAGTCCCCGAATTTCCATCAACCTCATGTTCTGCCTGGAACCAAATGGCTCGAAATTAGCGAAATACACTCATTTGCAAACTAATTTGGTTTTTCGAGAGACTCACATGGAACTCAACCTGAATCTCTCGTTTGTGATGTTTCCAGGAGGGTGTAGTAACGTTATTGGCATGTGATACCGATAAATTCATGCTCACGATTTTTGGGGTCACTTATGAACCAATTCTCCGTCTGTTATAGTAGGATAACCTTCGGACTTGAAAAACACTCCGCGAGAGGGCTCAATTTTTTTGTGGGGGCGGATATTATAAGACGACGAATGTATTTCGATTCTATTCCAGTCCTCAGTACCATACTTTGCTACATGAATTTATCTCACAGTATGTTTTGCTATGAATCGTTTTCGCATCCATTTAGCAGTGATTCTAACCGGGTCGGTAAACGTTTCGAACCTGTTGTCGACTCTCGGTCTAGTCCGATACGAACCAGGGGTATCCTGTGGTTTGAAGTACTACTGCTAGCAGGACAACACTTAAATGTTTACGCAGGACCCAGTTTCAAACTGTCACGCCCACATATTGCCATCGTTAATAGAACCGCCAACATAGCTCAGTTTGCGGTAACCTGTGTGGCACACCTATATCTGGTTAGCCTCATGTTAGTAGTGTGTTTCAATCATGTTCTCACTTGATTTGACTTGAGTAGATTGTTTCTTTTTCAGCAGGAAAACCCGAGGCCGGTGGTCCAACCCCAGTCATCGAGTC